AGACTTAGGTAAGTCTTAACCTTATAGAACTTATTAATTTAATTTAGAAGAGGTAGGAAAATCATAGAAATAATGATAGCTACTAAGTGCTCACCGTGTGTCAGCTCTGTACTTGTATTAGTTCATTTAATCCTCACAACCATCATATGAGATAGGTACTATTATTATCCCGATTTTACAAGTGAAGAAAGTAAGCATGAAAGGATTGTCCAAAGGTGGTTACCCAGGTAACAAGGAACAGAGACAAGATTAGAACTCTGGCAGTCAGGTTTAAAAGTCCATGCTCTTAACTAGGATATTCTCCCATTCTAAGAACTGACATTTGAGTGGTCAGTAGAATGAGTGGGGTCTCAAAGATGGACAGAAACTTTCTAAGTAGGGGAAACTATAAACTTGACCAGATGCATCAAAATCACTCGTTTAAATAACACAGACTTTTAGGCACCCCAAACCCTAGCTTCTGGGAAGCCCAGCTATAGAACTGTGACTTCCTTTTTGGGATGCTCAGACTCATAGGGGTCTGGCTAATACTGTTTTTAAAAAAAAAGGAAAACTACATTAACTGACAGGACTGTGGGGGAACTGATAGGCTTTAAATTTTGGCTGGTGCTTTAAAAACTTAGTGGTATGAAACGAATTTTCTCTTGCACATAACAGTTCTGGTTGACCTGTTTCTGATTCCTTTTTAAAGTTGCTGCCACTCATGCTACTCCTTAGGAGTTTTAACCCCAAGACGGGTAAGACGTGCTTCCCCTAGTTGCTCCCCTAGAGGCCAGGTTCATTTCATTCTAATATTAGTCAGAGAGAGGGAGCAGGCAGGAATTTTACAAAAATAAGGAAGCTCCACAAGACTTGAAATCTTCCAAACTTTTTGTTGCCAGTGGACCTTGATTTCTAACTTTGGTTCTCAAACTTGGCAGTCATCAGAGTCACTCTGACATAAGAATCACCTGGAGAGCCTGTGGGCCCAACAAAAATTGAGTATTTGGGGGGCAGGGCCTGAGGATTTGCTATTTTAACATCTCCTCCATCTGGATTACCCAGTGTTCTTTGCCTACAATATAGCCCTAATTACTTTATAATTGTTCTGTTCTTTTTAATCATAATTTCTTAGCGGAAGCTATATGGTTTAAACCCTGTGGCATTTATCATAGTTACTGAGCATGTGGTCAATCCTTTATAATTATTAGCCTAATTAAAATTTTTAGCCAAATAAACATTTTAGTTGTTCATCTTTCAGTGCACAATGTTGTTTTTAAAAACTTTTTTTTTCTTTTTTAGGTATTTAATACAAGGTTGTTTAAAGTCAAAGAAAGGCATTTGTTTCTTACCTATTTAGGAAGAGCACAATACGATCCAACAAAACCTAACTACATCTCTTTGGACAAGTTAGTGTCTGTGCCTGATGAAATATTTTGTGAAGAGATTGCCAAAGCCTCAGTACAAGACTTTGAAAAATTCTTAAAAACTCTTTAGTTTTTGATGAATGTTAAGATGTAAGAATGTAAAATGAATGTATATATGAATGAATGATATACATTTTTAAATAAATGCCTCAGGCCTCCATTGATGCTGGAAACAATTTCTTGATATTGTGAATTTGGGTACACTTGTGGCAGATCTTTCTTACAAGTTCCTGGTGACTTAATTTTCTTCAACTCGACCATCTCCTTCCTTGTCAGGGAGGACAGAACTTAAACCACAGCAAGCTGAGAGAGGGAGTGAGTCACTTTCCTCTGGGCTGGCACACTGTCTGCCCTCTAAAATGGTTTCCTCACAAGACCTCTTTATTTTCTTCAAAATGTTACAAGTTTCTGGAGCATGCTCTATTATTATTCACCTAATAGCTACTATTCACGTAGATAATGCTACAAAACACATTCCATTTTGGATGATCTGCGCTGTATCTTCCTGAGCATAGATACTCAGAGTTGCCCACAGTTGGCTACCGAGAATCGGGAAAGGAGAAAGGATTGGGGGGTTGGTGGGAGGAGAGGACTAGTGTGAGGATAAGTAAAGGGCAATGAGACATAGTAAAAGACCATAACAAACCTCTGACTTATTGCCAGTATGCACAGATTTACAGCATGAACTGATACTCTTTTCCCCATTTATCATTTAGACATGTAATCCTGGGCCAATATTTTAACCTCCGGGTCAGATCCTTATTTGTAAAACAAGGCATTGTGACTTCAGCTATCTGCCTTGGGATCACAAGTCTGGGTGGGTAGTTAACACTGGTGGCTTCCAGTGAACCACCCTGGTGTTTGTTCTCCTTGTCCCCTTCCACACTGACTCTGGGCCAATGAGACCGGGTCCCTGAGACATTATCAAGCAGAGGCGAGATTAAGTACTTGCACACTGGGGCTTGTCCTCTTGAAACATTTGCTCTTGGAACCCTGAGCCACTACGTAAAAATGTTGGGTGACTCGGAGAAATGAGGTGGAGAGAAAGAGGTGTCTGGCCAAACCTCAGCTATTCCAGTCATGCCAACAGAGCACCAGACATTGGGGCGGGGGGCGGGGGAGGGGGGGGAAGAAGCTATCTTAGACGTTTCAGCCTCAGCAGAGGCAACATGGAGCAGAACTGTCCAGCTGAATTCAGAATTGGGATAAAAAACTTTTAAAACACTAACTTTGGGGGTAGTTTGTTGTGCATCAGGGTTCTGTGCTGTGCTGTAGATCCGGAAGCCTCATAAGAAACTAAATTTATAATTGATCGGGGCCTTCCTGTTAGGTATTTTATTCATTTGCCCAACAGACATTTGAGTTCCTAAAATGTAGTGGTGAGTGTGGCATAGATACGGGCCTTCATGGACTTCTCTAATGGATGAGATCAATACACAGGAAACAAGGCTCAGCTAAAAAACAAAGCATGGAACCATCCCAACTGGTCTTTCTATGGCTCAGAACCTCATTTTTGCCTTGTATCAGTCAGAATAGGCTATAATGAACAGTCCTAAAACCTTAAATGGTTTCTTTTTAAAGATTTCATTTATTTATTTGAGAGAGAGAGCACGACCGGGGGGAGGAGCAGAGGGAGAAGGAGAAGCTGACCCTGCTGAGCAGGGAGCCCGACGCAGGACTCCATCCCAGGACTCCGAGATCATGGCCTGAGGCGACGGCACATGCTTAGCCAACTGAGCCACCCAGGTACCCCAAACCTTAAATGGTTTAAAACCACGGAAGTTTTTATCTCATACATATCCTATCTGGGACTAAAAAAGTTCTGCTCCTTATCATCTTTAGGGACGGAGGTTGATGGAGCCTCCACTGTGTCTTAAGCGTAGCCAATCTATGAAAGGGGAAAGGAATGTGAATTGCTCTTAAAAACTAATCACATTTTTCTTGGCCAAAGCGTCACATGGCCATGCCTAGCTTTAAGGGAGCAGAGAAATGAAATCCTACCCACGTGCCCGGAGGGAAATCAAACAATTTTTGAATCAATACTGATGACTGCCAGCAAACATCCAGGACCTCTAGGCTCAATACCTCTAGGAGCTGGATTTTTTTGGACAGTCTTGGGCATCTGGTCTCTTGACAAGGTCTTCCTTCTCTTACCACCTTCACCGCGTAACCAGCAAGCTGAAACTTAAGGGTAACGAGGAAACAAGAGTTTACTGAGTACTTCTTGTAAAGCAATGTGCCAGTGTTTAAATGTATTGCACTTCACGTCTTTCAGACTTCACTTTGCCTAGTGCAGCCTGGGAGCAGACATTCATCAGTTTTTAGTGCTGCATACAGGACTGAGTAATGTGAGAATGTGGTGGCACAAAGAAGATAAAAGGGGAAGGCAACAAAAGTTTTAAAACTGGAATGTGACTAGGACCACTGAATCTAACGTTCTGAATTTACAGTGAGATGGATTTCTCTATATGGTCCCAGTTCTCCGCTTAAGCCTGAAGTAAACAAAAGTAGATATTCATGGGTTCTTGTTATGGATTGAACTGTGTCTCTCCAGAAGTCATGTTGAAACACTAACCCCCAGTGTGATGGCATTTAGAGATAGGGCCTTCATAATGCAAATAGTGTCCTTGTAAGATACAAAAGAGCCTGCCCTGTGAGGACACAATGAGGCAGTCCTCTAAAACCCACAGGAAAAGCTCTCACCTGAAAATGACCATTCTTGCACCTTGATCTTGGGCTTCTAGCCTCCAGAACTGTGAGAAATACATTTGTTTTTTAAACTATCCAGTCTGTGTGTTTTGTTATGGAAATTTGAGCTGACCATGACAGTAATGGTGGTAGGAGGTCACTAGGAACTGAATGAGTCAGTCACACTATAATCGTTTCTGTCCCTAGATTTTAATGCCTTAGACTTAACATGTTAGGGCTGAGACCTTAAGAGTATACTTTTATCTCAAAATCACACAGAAATTCTGCTCTGTATCTTAAGTCAGTATTAAATTTTTTGTGTGTGCTGACCTAACCTACCACGAAAATGGCTTGGTGTAGACCTTAAGCTGGAGAAACGGAAGGCCAGAGAGGGTTAGTGTCTCCTAGATTAGTAGCGTGGTATATGGCCCTAGCATTAAGGAGTCCAAGTTTTATCCGGATCCTCTGATACTAGAAGGTAAATCTGGATTCTTCCTAGCTGTGTAGTCTTGGACAATTTATCCAACTTTTCTGAGCCCGTTTCCTCTCTACAATGGGCATAACCATAGTACTTACCTCACGGATTTGAAACTAAACGATAATTAAAATAATACGCAGGTAAAAGGCTTAGTGCGTTGCTTGGCACAAAGGTAGCAATAAATACTCCCTAAATTCTCACAGGTCGTCCATCACAGAACCCAGGCTAAAGCCCCTTATTCCTTGCCTAATGTTCTTCCCCATCGGGTCCCACGAAATGGTTCATGGAACGGGGCACGCAAAATGCCCGCCGCACTACATTGGCATGAACCACGCGGAAAAAACGCCAGCCGCAGGGGCCCCCCCAAGTCGGCTGCCAGAAACTGCGCCTGCGCGGGCGTCCTTCCTCGCCAGGCGACGCGACGCGACGCGAGGCGCCTGCGCAAAGGCCCAGAGCGTTCTCCAGGACTTACCCAGCAGGCAACGCTGCAGCTTCCGGTCAAAATGGCGAGCAGGCCTGCCGGTAAGTCCCAGATGACCTCCCTGACAGGAATTGCCACACTCAAGCCTTTTATTCTTGCAGTAAATTGCTCCGCTTCCTCTGTTCTAAGTGGCTAGGTGTGCGACGTCAGGGAAGGTGGAGGCTCCGCTCCAGCCTAAAGAAGGGCTTTCCCCCCACCGTCTTACTGACCCAGGCCGGCCGGGCTCACCCGAAGGGTTGGAGGTGGATCTGCTGTCGGTGAAGGTGCCCGCGGTGGCTCCGATAGCCCTGCCATTCCAACTGCCCGTGCTCGGCAGGCCTTCCCCTCGGCCTTAGAAGTGTTCAAGGACACTAGGAGATAATTAGTGCGTGACTTTCGACCAGAATGAACCGAGTGCTTGCCGTGAGTCTAGCCCTGTCGTGTGCGATAAATTCTGCCAGTGTGACGAGGGCGGTATTAGTTTCCCTTTTACGCTGATTAGGTAACCGAGGCAGAGTGACCGGAGGAAATAGGTCTGCAAACTTCTTCCACCCCTCGCCCTTCTCAAACGGAATTCAGGGCAGCAGAGCCAGTGTTGCAGCGAAGCTTCAGATTAACTTTGGCTTGTCTGGAACGTCAGCGCGGTCGGTAGATTTGGAGAAGTTTGTATTTACTGTAGGCACTAAAACAAACATACTCACTCTGCAGTAGAATACAGAAATTACCGGAATATTTAAAACAGATCATGAACACCAGAGATTTTCCCTCCCGCGCACCTTTTTTGCGGGTCTCTGCCCTCTGGAGGTATAAATTGGAGTGGCCTTTAAATAATATTGGCCCCTATCTCGTCGCCCTCAGCAATGGTGAAACATCAGATTGCCTGAAAAATCCGCTAATCTAAATGACATTGAACTTTTTGGGGGGTGGGGGAGACATTTAGGAATTCGTTGTTTCATTAATTTGACAGATATAGAAGGCACTCTGCTCTGTCTTGTGTTTGAGAACAAGATCGACCTGGTCTCGACCCTACCACTGGCTGACTCTGATCTTGGATAGGATAAGTTCTGTAAACCTTACTCTTCTGCAAGGACAGGCGTGTTGTAAATAAACCGAGCCAGTGTGGGTAAAGCAGATAGGATAGTGCCTAGCACACAAGTGTTCAGTGAATATTAATCCTCACCGTCAATGGCAGATATGTATACAGATCATTTGTTTTCGACAAATATGTTTGTAGATTGTTGACTCTTTGGTACTTGTTTTTCTAGAAGCAATCTTCTACATGGTGCTTAATTTTCAAGAAGATTTACCAAAGCTGTGTAATCTGTGATATGCTAAGGAGTAGGAATGAGGAGGGGTTGGAATAAAAGAGTTTGCTTTCATCCCTTGGTAAGAGGCTAGCCCCAGACAAAATTTTAAAAGAAAATTTAAATTTGCTCTATCTCCCCTTCTTAACACATCTCTCCTACGAACATCAGGCACTATCATGTTGCCCTTAGCCCCTACTGGGTTATCCCATCAGGCTCAGTCCTGCTCCCCAAAGAGCTTTAATGTTACCTATTTCTTCTCATCCATTTCCTTGTTGGAAAGTTAGCTACTTGGGAGGAGGAAAATGGGCTGCTTCTACTAATCCATATTACTATTAAGAGACTGGCTAATGGTATCGAAAATCCTCCCAGAAATACATACATTTTTAAAGAGGCTAGGCAAGTGAAGTAAAGGTAATGTAGAATAAAGATTTTGGAAGATGAAGGTCATTGAGACTTGCCAACCTATCCTGAAGTCTTACCTTCTTTACATATAACTCCAACTTCCTTGATAAGAAAAGTTTACATTTATTTCCTGTAATTTATTTCCGAAACTGCAGAAGATGGAGGAGTTCCGAGTTTCAGTCCCACACCCTACCCCTTCAGTTCTGATGGTAGCAGGGGTACATAAAAGATGGGTTACTTGACGTGAAGAGGCTGGAGTGCTAATAACTACTCTCTTGTACATCATGTGTTTGAGTTTACCCTTTTTTCCCATGACTTGCCGATTTTTTTTGACCTGTAATCACTTTTGCTCATAGACAAAATAAGCAGTTTTTATCGACAGTATACAGAATATATACTTTCAAAAGGAAATTCCTTCCTATGTTTGCATTCTCTAACAAGGTAACTATAAGAGTACTGGTTGCTTGCCTCTCCAGGTTTTCATATAGTATAATAAGTGAATCGTAGCAACTAATAGTGTGACAATATCAGTTGCAGCATCAAGCCGGTGGCTGGAGGGTATTCGAAAATGGTACTACAATGCTGCAGGGTTCAATAAACTGGGTGAGTATCTATTTTTTTCCTTGGTTTTTTTTTTTTTTGCTTTATATATAGTTCATATCATAGGTCTTAAACATGTATATGCCATGTGACCCACAATCTCACTTCTAGGAATTCATCCTAATGAAATAATTTAGATAATTTAAATAATTTGCCCAAAGATTTAGCTACAAAGATGTTCTTGAACCACTGTTTATAAGTAAATTACAGTAAAATCCAAATATTGAAATCATTTAAAGTTATGATATTGACTATATACATATGATTCTATGCTATATATATTATATATGATTCTATACTAATCATAATATATATATAGTTTATATATGATTTAGACTGTGTGTATGTGTGTGTGTGTGTCAACATCTGTGGATGTTCCATTATGGACAACCAACCTAGTGCCTGAGTTTTACTAGCTTTTGCAAGAGTTGTTATGATTCCGAAAAACAGCTTAACTAATTGTACCTGTGTACATTAGAAAATTGTAAAATTAGGTCACATTTTATTCGATCATTTCCTCTTTATTATTTTGAGAAGAGAGTAATAGAATCAGTCATCTCAGATGTTTGAGGTGGAAATAAGTTACGTTCTTGAAATACGGTAGCAGTACATTTTCCTTACTGCACGCTCCCTCTCCCAACTCCTCCATTTGGCATTTGAAAATTTAAGTTATATGAACTTTGAAAGTAAGAGATTTCTCAAATGTTAAAAATTGTCAGATGTTCAAATCACCGGATACCTGAACTTTTTTAGAACTTTATAATTTGCCATGAACTTCATCTTTTTTTAATTGAAGCTTGACAGAAGTGTCATTAAATGTTACTGGTTCCTTGGGGGTGCCTGGGTGGCTCAGTTGGTTAAGCGGCTGCCTTCAGCTCGGGTCATGATCCCAGGGTCCTGGGATCGAGCCTCACATCCGGGCTCCCTGCTCGGCCGGGAGTCTGCTTCTCCCTCTCCCTCTACCTGCTGCTCTGCCTACTTGTGCTCTCTCTTTATCTGTCAAATAAATAAATAAAAATCATATTTAAAAAAATGTTACTGGTTCCTTAGTACACTGTCATCTTGAGGTTCTTTAATACCTTGATCTCAGATTCAAGGTATAAGAAAATAGAGATGTGATTTATTGGTGTGTATTTAAAAACAAAGTAGATATTTTAGATATTTTAAAAATTATTTTAGATAAAATGTGAATTTTGTGACAGAGGTTTTTAAAAGACTAATTGTTTCTACAGTACCATTTAAGAAATAACCCATTATGAAGGAAAGGAAAAAATAAAATAAGACAAAATCAGATAGGGAGACAAATCACAGGAGACAACTATAGGAAACAAACTGAGGGTTGCTGGAGGGGAGGTGGTTGGGGGGATGGGTAACTGGGTGATGGACATTAAGGAGGGGACTTGATGTAGTGAGCACTGGATGTTATATACAACTCATGAGTCGCTAAACTCTACCTCTGAAGCTAATAATACACTGTATGTTAATTAATTGATTTTAAATTAAAAAAAAGAAATAACCCATTATCATGTATGAAATGCGTACATATTTCACCTGAATCTTAAGTTATGTCATAAACATATTTCACTCATTTTTTTAAAATGTCTGATTTTTAAGATGTGTATTCAATCTGACTCTCTTGTTTTCTGTCACAGGGTTAATGAGAGATGATACAATATATGAGAATGATGATGTGAAAGAGGCCATAAGAAGGCTTCCTGAGAACCTTTATAATGACAGGATGTTTCGCATTAAGAGAGCACTGGACCTGACCATGAGGCATCAGATCTTGCCTAAAGAGCAGTGGACAAAATATGAGGAGGTAGCTCAGCTTTTATGTATCTGACAATATTGGCCACTAAGCATTAAGCTTTAGAAACAGAAACACTCATTTGTATAGTGCTTTAGAGTTCTTAAGGTTGTGTCAAATAAATACCCTCATGACAGTCCAGTGAGGTTAATAGAGCAAATGTTAACTCCATTTTAGAGATAATTACTTTGTGACTTAGAGGGGATGGACTGTTCCAGAATCACTAAGCAAGTCTGTAATACAGAGATCCTGGGCTAGAGTCCAGATCCTCTGTATTATGGATTGTTGTTCTCCCTCTACAATGTTTCCTGCTCAGATGGAAAAATGTTGGTATCTGTGTGATCAGCCCATAGAGTGGCCCTCTGGCTTCCAGGAAGGACTCTGAAGTAAACCCTCACCCCTTAAACTGCATTGAAATTAGGCAAAAGGGGCACCTGGGTGGCTCAGTCATTAAGCGTCTGCCTTCGGCTCGGGTCATGATCCCAGGATCCTGGGATCAAGCTCGCATCGGGCTCCCTGCTTGGCCAGAAGCCTGCTTCTCCCTCTTCCACTCCCCCTGCTTGTGTTCTCTCTCTTGCTGTCTCTCTCTCTGTCAAATAAATAAATGAAATCTTTAAAAAAAAAAAAAAAATAGGCAAAAGCTTCTACTCTAATTTCTTCTCTGGCAGACTTTCCCCTTTCAGCCTATCAAAGCAACTTGTATTACAATATCTTTGTGGGTTTTTACATTTTAGAAAAGCAGATAGTTCCTAGTCTGCTTGAAAATATATTTTCTTAAGTTGGAAATAAGAATTAATTTTGATGAATTTCTTTTGTCGAAGACCTCTTGAGTGTTTGGGATATATCAGTATGTGATGGCTGCATATAATATATATATATTTTTTTATTCATTCTTTAGGATAAATTCTACCTTGAACCATATCTGAAAGAAGTTATTCGGGAAAGAAAAGAGAGAGAAGAATGGGCAAAGAAATAATGATGGAGTTGAACTCTGGTTGCAGCTGCCCTCAAATATTTTTAAGAAGTTGAATAAACCTGAAGTGTACAATTTAGAACTATCTGAGCTGCAAATATATTACTTTAAATAAATGTCTATTGTGATTATTGTTGGAGTGTTTGAATTCTAAATCTTATTCTGAATAACTACTGAATTTACTTACCTGTTAGGATTCTTTCTAGACTTTTAAGATATTTTTTAGTTAGTGTTTTACTGCTTCCTGAAGCTCAGGGAGTCCACTTTAATCAACTTCACTCACTGGTTGGACAACATCTGAATTTCCTGAAGGATGTAACATTCTTGCAAGTAGAATAGTCACCTTTATATTGCCTTTGTAGATTAGCAAGATACTTAGAAGTCCCCTCAGGGCCTCACTTAGCAGGGATGCAATAGAGCAAGAAATGAGTGCCCATGACTTTATGGTGTGTAAAGCGAACAGCACTCTTAACAGATTGGCTATCAGACTTCACAAGGTACCCGATAAAAAGAGGATTCACCCCCTCGTTTGCCAGGATTGGTAAACAGCCCTCTCCAACCACTGCTCTCTGAATGTTACTAATTTTACATCCTATCCTTTTTAAAGAAGTTATGTATGTGGTCCCAATATGGGTCTGTGTAGGATACATATATGTGCTCTTGTGTTAATGTGTATTAGAAAACAAAAACTAGACATTAAAACAATTGACAAAAATACAAAGTAAAAGTGTTAAGGTTATAATTTTAAGTATAAATTAGAACCATTCAATAATGTCATTCCCACCCCTGAATTCTAAAATGCTTCAGTGGAAGGAGCTGCGTAGGACCTGCGGCCTATGCAAGGTTTCACGAGCCTCTGCTGTGTGCAGACAGAGCATCTGATTGGGATCTTCCCTTGGACAACAACTATAGTGTGAAAAGCAAGTTTGGGGTTCGTAAAATTCCTAAAGCAGAATCAAAAGTATGTTTTTTTCACAAAATGGGTTATGATGTTTGACATTTATGATTGTCTTTTACAACATGAACATGAATATCTTAAATTTTTTGCTAAAATATCAGCCTCGTTAAATTCTCCAGAGCCTTCTCTTTCACATTCAGAGTATTTCCTGAAACGCCTAGTCATTCTCGCCAATTTTCTTTAGTCTGGTCCAAGTTAGATGAGTCCTCATTTGATAATGGTCTTGGTCATGGTAAAAGCAGTTCTCCTTTAACATACTTAATATGAGATTTATGATTTGATGTGGCAGTCCATTTGGTTGCATACATTGTTGGTACAGTATGACAAATCACAGAGAAACAGATGAAGATGGTGATAGATGCTAGTGTTGGAGAATGGTTTAGTGGACTACATATGCTTAGTTGTATTAAGTTTTTTGTGTCAAGATGCTTCCTTATCAGGCCTAATGAAGGAACTAAGATAAATTCTGACAACCAAGGACCACCCGCTGTCTCAGTGATTCAATTTCTTTCCTCTCACACTTTTTCAAATAAATTTGAATTTCATACATTGCTGCTGGGTATTAATAAGCGTATGATCCATTTGGATAGCATTTTGGCAATATGTATCAAGAATGGCAAAGTCTAAATAATTCCAATAGCAGCCACCATTATATTGAGTGATTATGATTATTTTACATGATGCACTGTGCACTTCATGATCATTGATCTCACAACGATGCAGTGAGATAGGCACGTTACTCCTTTGCAAATGAGCAAACAAAGGCTTACTTACAGAGGTCAAGCAACCTGCCCCAAGTCATGCATCCACAGAAATAGTGTATGACTCCAAAACTGTGATGCAGTGCTGCTTTATGAAAAAGATGTTTATTGCAGCATTGCTTATCAGAGTAAAAAACCAAACAATGTAAGTTTTCAATAATAGGACATGCTTAAGTAAGCTGTGCTGAGTGGGAAAAGTATATTTATGAAGATAGTTTTAAAACTTGGAAACTTCTTGGGCGCCTGGGTGGCTCAGTTGGTTAAGTGACTGCCTTCGGCTCAGGTCATGATCCTGGAGTCCTAGGATCGAGTCCCGCATCGGGCTCCCTGCTCGGCAGGGAGTCTGCTTCTCCCTCTGACCCTCTTCCCTCTCGTGCTCTCTGTCTCTCATTCTCTCTCTCTCAAATAAATAAATAAAATCTTTAAAAAAAAAACTTGGAAACTTCTTGTGATATGTGAAGAAAGATACAACTAGGTGGAACAAGATCCCCAACTCTTTGTTAAGGAAAGATGGGAAACATCAAGGTAACAGTGGTGGTTATCTTTTAGTGAGCAAGGGTGGTTTCGTATTTTTCCTTTTCTCTGATAGTCGATTTTTTATAATTGAGTAGCAATCACTTTTACAGTAGAAAAAGCCATAGCAGATGTTTGTATTCTTGGCACAAAAGCTGTAGGTCATAGGATCTCTTGCTTTGCTTGAGCCCCCTGCCCCAGGGGCTCTTATGGGTGAGAAGGTAGCTAGCAATAAGACTGAACAATTTTTCTAAAACATGTTCAGGTGAATAAGGAAGACCAGGCTGAAGAACAGCAGGTAGACTGTGCCCTTGTATTTCCTTTGTTGCCAGTGAGTTTGCTAGTACGGTGAGGACAGAAAACCACCCAAGCAAGATCAAGACTCTCTGGAGGTTCTTAAGAAAAAGGTCAGGTCCCACTGGGAGGAGGTTTCAACGTAGTCCCGCTTGGCAGAAGAAGGTTGAGAAAATGGACTGTCCAGAACCCCTGTTTTTGAAAGCATTTGTATCCTCAGAGAATTTCCTTGACTTGGACTCTCCAGAGGCTCCTTTAACTTCAAGATCACTTTTGCAGGAGTCTGATAATCATTCAACTAAGCGTCCAGTGTGCACCTTTACAAGGAGACCAGAGCTGAAGCACCTCCCACCAGACCCTTACAAAGGTGTGTGAGGAGAAGGATGGGGTGGAGGGAGGCCGGGGCATTAAACTTAGGGACAGTATTTGTGAATGCTGTTGATATTTACAGCAAGCCTAAGAGCTCCACTGAAAGACAGGGACAAACAGCTGGCCAAGGTTAAGGTGTAACAGGAGGAACTGGGTCATCCACTGCTCAAGGTAGAAAATGAGGTGTGGGGGCACCTGGGTGGCTCAGTTGGTTAAGCGACTGCCTTCAGCTCAGGTCATGATCCTGGAGTCCCGGGATCAAGTCCCGCATCGGGCTCCCTGCTCAGCGGGGAGTCTGCTTCTCCCTCTGACCCTCTTCCCTCTCGTGCTCTCTATCTCTCATTCTCTCTCAAATAAATAAATAAAATCTTTAAAAAAAAAAAAGAAAATGAGGTGTGACAGTAGGGCAATCTGTGACCTTGTGAGAGCTCTTTCTAGCCAAACTGTAAGGCTTTTCTACATCACTTAATGACCTCATTTTTCTAAATGGAAAAAGTATGCAAAAGTTCTTTGAAAACCATAGAACACTATATCGATGTTTTTACTGTTAATTATAATTACCAGTATTGTTCTGCTTGTTATGAAGAATAAGAGAGAAAATAGAAACAGTATCTGACCCATTGAAAGAATAGTTGAAGGGGTGAGAATTTTGTTAATTGGTCAATGAAATCTTTTCATTTGAAGAGAGGGTCATTTTGTTACCAAAAGCTGTACTGTCTGAAAAAGCAGCATGGGATACTCTGAAATACAGAGGCTCATCATCCTGCAGACAGAATAGAGGGATTCAGGGGCGCCTGGGGGGCTCAGTCAGTGAAGCGGCTGCCTTCGGCTCAGGTCATGGTCCCAGGGTCCTGGGATCGAGCCCCGCATCGGGCTCCCTGCTCAGCAGAGAGCCTGCTTCTCCCTTTCCCTTTGCTGGCCGCTCTGCCTACTTGTGCTCTCTATCTCTGTCAAATAAATAAATTAAAATATATATATATTTTTAAAAAAAAGAATAGAGGGATTCAGAGATGCCCAGATATGAATCCACCTACTGTGTAACTGTAGGACTCTGGTTTAACCGCTCCGTGCCTCAGTTTTCTCAGCTCTAAAGTGGGGCTCATGGTAGAACCTACTTTACAGGGATATTGTGAAAATTACCTGACTTCATTACATGTCAAGCACCTAGAATAGTTCTTGGCACATGGTAAGCACTAGAAGGGCTAGCTTCTGTGCTCCTCTATGTGAATAGAGGGAGAATAAATATTCTGGGGAAATGCTGAGGACCATCAAGTCTAGTAGTGGAGTAGTCGAGGCCCAGGTCCTGAGCACCTTTCCTCTACCTCCCATGTGGCATTCTCATTTCTGGTCCATCTGCCGCCTTTGGATGTCTGGCCTTGAATGAAGTACCCTTTACCCGAGGTGAGGACAGGTGGAATTGGACCCATATGACAGTTTGATTGGGTTGGAGCCCAGCCAAGGCTTTCCTTGTTTGGCCTTTTGGATTGGCAGTGTTTTTTAAACTTCCAGTATTTCACATCCTGCTAGTTTACTGTGTACAGCATAAAATGTTTGATATCTTTTATTGTTCGAAGTTTGAAGTTGATTTAGGTTTTGAATATATGGCTTCCTAGTCCTCGAAGAAAGATAGATTTGCTTACTCTCAGGTGACTTACTTTATTTTTCTGTTCTTTGCAATTCCATACAACACTTAGCTTATGCTCACTGATGTAGTGCTTCACTCAACTTTCATGGTGTCCAGGTATAGGAAGCAGAGTAAGGAATGATGGGGCCTCAGGTCCCCAAATACTGACTCCGGTAATCCCAAACTGCACAGCAATGTTTGGTAACATTCCCAAATGGAGTTCTCGCGGCCTAAACGTTCATGTGATGCTCTATGAACGGTGCCGACATGTTAGTGAAGGAATCTTCACTAACAGTACCATGGCCTGTTTTAAAACTCTAGAATCTTAATAAAATCCCAAGTGTAGATTTTGGTAAGGATTTCATGTTTACTTTAAGGATTCCCCTTTAAGGCATTAATTCTGCACTAATTCTGACTTTCTAAAAGACTCACTAATAAGAATAAAAACTGGGCCAAAGCCCAATGTTCCTACAGTCATAATAATCCTTCTACATTCACAAACATGATGGGGTTTTGTTAATACAGACATCCTGTGTGTGGCTTTGAAAATAACCAAAGTACTTGGAATTTAATAGGCGAACAGAAAACCTGTACTAAGCAAACCTGGGACAACTTGGAGGTTGAAGGGAATTGAGT